AGGAGGGAGTAATAGAAGAGATATGCCAGAGTTTGACCAGTTTATCAGTGATTGTGGCTTAGTGGACCTACCATTAATTGGTAGGAAATTTACTTGGTACCAAACCAATGGAGCATCGATGAACAAATTGGATAGATTCTTGCTCTCAAAAGAATGGTGCTTGAACTGGGAGTCTGTTAAACAATGGGGCTTGAACTGTTCATACTCTGATCATTGCCCAATTGTGTTAAAAAACCAGATAATTGATTGGGGTCCAAAACCCTTTCGATTCTTCGACGCATGGCTCGAAATCCCTAAGTTTAAGGAAATGGTGAGTGAAGTATGGAAGTCGAAAATGGTTAGTGGGTGGAATGGGTTCCATTTGAAGGAGAAATTGAAAGAAACAAAGAAGGTGTTGAAAGCCTGAAGTATGAACATGGTATCAGAGATTGACACGAGCATACAAAGGAGCATCGATTTTTATTGCTACCATTGATAAAAAAAAAAAAGGCAACGTGATGCCATTGCCTACAGAAGACATTGAGTTGAGAAGGATTAATTTTCTAGAATTATGGAACAATTAGAAGATTAAGGAAAGCATATGGCGACAAAAAGCTAGAAAGACCTGGTTGTGTGAAGGGGACGCTAATACAAAATTTTTCCACAGATGTGTGAAAGGACGAAGAAGCAGGAATGACATAGTGAGTATTATGGTGGGTAGTGAGCGGTTGGAGGAAGTAAAGGAACTTAAAGAAGGTGTGGCAAGGAACTTCGAAAGCTTGTTCCAAGAGGAAGAGTGGCAGCGCCCAGTGCTAAATGGAATTGAATTTAAGAAGATTTTAGCAGAGGAGGGGTCAATGTTGGAAGCACCGTTCAAAGAGGAAGAGGTTAAACAAGCAGTGTGGAGTTGTGAGAGTTCAAAGGCACCGGGGCTTGATGGGTTTAACTTCAAATTCATCAAGGAAATGTAGGAGGTCATCAAAGGGGATATATTGGGGTTTGTTGACGATTTCCAAAAGCATGGAAAATTGGTCAAAAGGGTTAATAGCAGCTTCATTATATTAATACCCAAAGTCGACAACCCACAAAAATAGAAGAATTTAGACCCATCTCACTGGTTGGTGTCATGTACAAAATAATTGCCAAACTGCTAGCACATAGGCTGTCTTCGATTTTAAATGGAGTGATCGAGGAAAATCAGATGGCTTTCATTGGAGGAAGGCAACTTGCAGATAGTGTGGTTATCACAAATGAGACTATAGATGAGGCTCAAAAAAGAAAATAAGCAGGGTTTGTATTTAAACTTGACTTTGAAAAGGCGAATGATAAAGTCTGCTGGGCTTTCTTGGACTACATGATGATGAGATTGGGAGTTGGTCAAAAATGGAGAGGGTGGATTACTGAATGCTTGAAGACAGCGGAGGTATCGGTGTTACTCAATGGGAGCACCACCAAACAGTTTAGGATGCAAAGAGGGCTTAGACAAGGGGACCCATTATCCCCCTTTCTATTCTTAATAGTTGCGGAGGGTCTTAATGGCATCATCAAATCAACAATTTCACATGGAATGTTTAAGGGGATTCTAGTTGATCAAAATGGCTTGAAAGTATCTCATCTATAGTTTGCGAATGATACGATTGTATTTGGGAAGCCTTAAAAGAAAACATGTGGGTTGCAAAATGTATTATGAGGATTTTTGAGATTGTCTCGGGGCTGAAAATTAACTTCAAAAAAAGCTTGCTCATAGGCATAAATGTCTCAAATGACTGGATGAAGAAGATGTCTATTATTATGAATTGCAAGCAAGGATTTTTTCCTTGTAAAGAGTTGGGGATGCCGATTGGGGGTAGATTCAGAAGTATTGCGATGTGGAAACCCATCATTGATTCTTTTAAGAAGAAACTTGCATGCTGGAAAACCAGGTTCATTTCTCTTGGTGGAAGGATCACGTTCCTTAATTCTGTGCTGTCCAGCCTCTCGGTGTTCATCATGTCTGTCCACCTACTACCTAAAGGTTTGATTCTTTCACCTGATAAAATTTGTAGAAGTTTTCTTTGGAGGGGTAGGGAGGGTAGCAAGAAGATTAATTGGGTTTGTTGGGAGAATGTGTGTAGGAACGAAATGGAGGGTGGTTTAGGTGTAAAGGACCTTAGAAAATTTAATTTAGCACTGCTAGGAAAGTGGTGGAGTAGGCTAGCAAGGGGTGAGGAAGGATTTTTGTACAAGGTCATTAGAGAAAAATATGGAAACAGAGGAGGCAATTGGCTTAATTGGATTAAAAAAAGGTGCAAGAGGGGGTACTTATGGTGGAGGGACGTCTGTCATTTAGATCATTTGTATCATAGTAAGGTTGGATGGCTTTCGGATGGCTATAGACTAAATTAGGGGAGGGTAAATCGGTTAGCTTCTGGAAGGATGTGTGGATAGGGGATAGGCCTTTGGCTGACAAATTTCCAAGATTATTTCTTAATTCCACAGGCAAAACCAAGAGCATTTTCCAAATGGTTCATTGGAACAACGGGAGATGGACCTGGTCATTATAATGGAGAAGACCCACCTTTTCTTGGGAGGAAGAATCATTATCGGAGCTATGGGGTCTATTGGAGGCAAACCAACCAACTATGGGACGTGAAGATCACTGGGAGTGGAGGCATGATGATGATAATGGCATGTATTCAGCAAAATCTGGATATCAGGTCCTCTCAAGTAATCAAAACGAAAGCAGGAACAACATACATGAAAGAGTTTGGTGCAGACCTGTTCCTACAAAAATTTGCACTTTCGTGTGGAAAGTCCTACAAAACAGAATCCCCTCAAAGTTGAATCTGCTCAAAAGAGGTATCATCTCAGATTCTAGCCTTGCTACATGTAGTTTATGCAATGAGGGCATGGAAGATATAAATCATTTGTTTCTACATTGTAAAACGGCATCTGCAGTGTGGTCTAAATGTTTTCAATGGAAGATTACATGGGTAGAAGCGGATAATTGTTTGGCATCATTCGAACAACACTTGGCTTCCTTTAATGATGTAAAAATAAATATAGGATGGGATGCAGTTTGGTTTGCAATTATCTGGTCCTTATGGATTGCTAGGGATGATAAATCCTTCAAAAATCATGACCAGGATGCAAGAAGAATTTTTGAACTTGTACAATTGAGGATATTCCAATGGATTAAAAGCAGATCATCTAGGTACTCTTTTAATATTTGCCATTGGATCCTGGATCCTATGGAATGCTTGAAAGACAAACGAAGGAAATAATTGACATTGTGCTGAAATGGGTGTTGGCTATACATGAGTGACCTCATTCAATATTTTTGTATGTTTTATCTTGTTCCAGTATTTTGTTCCATTGTTGCTGGAATAGTTAATGTTTTGTAACGGGTTGGAGTACCCCTTGTACTCTCTTATTTATAGTTATATACATAATCCTTTTGCTGTGCAAACAAAAAAAAAAATCCAACTGACTGATAATCCATCGACGACCAACTGTAATAGATAAGACAGTGCGAATAGTAGTAGGTTTAATGACAGGACTGAAGATGTTAGAAAAATCAAACCCAAGACATTGATGAAAGCCTTTGGCAACCAAGCGAGCCTTATATCGCTCAATACTACCATCCTTTGCTCGTTTTAAACGAAACACCCATTTGCAGCCAATTAAATGATGATCAGGAGAAGGAGGAACAAGTTCCCACGTATCTTGACGCACAAGGGCACTGAATTCTTCAGACATAGCCTGTCTCCAATTGGGATTTTTGAGAGCTTGAGTCACAAAGTGGGTGCAGTGATAGGTGCAAGGCATTTGGACAGTGCTTGGAAAAGTATTTTGGGTTTAAAATTGTTATTCAAGGAGCGAGTGCGCATTTGGTGTAACCGAGTAAGAGGATTAGGCTGAGTCATACTACTTGTGGCCTTGCCCAAGGAAGGGGAGAGTGTGTGATCTAGGGTCGAGGATGACGAAGAGGGACTGGGACTAGATTGGGCTTAGAAAGTGGGGTTGGGAAAACTAGACAAGGCTAGGGCTGGAGATGGGGGGGATGGTGAAGGAGCAATGGCAAGAACAGGCACCACGTGAGCCACTAATTCATGGGGTGCACTAGCAGGAGAGTCAAGTGGCGACGGCAAGGTGCTTAGGTTAGAGGTAGGCGGAGAGGTAGTTGGAGACGTAGTAACAGTTAGAAAATTAGAGGGTAAAAGGGAAACAGGAGATTGAGTTTTGTGGGGAAAGGTAGACTCATCAAAGACAACATGTCGGGAAAAAAAAAATTTTTTGGAACTTAAATCCAAGCATTTATAGCCCAAGTTTTCTGTTGAGTATCCCAAAAATAAACAGGGACGTGAACGATATTGTAACTTGTTGGAATTATAAGGACGAAGCCAGGGATAACATAAGCACCCAAAAACACGTAGTTTTCTAAAGTTGGGACGAACATGAAACAAAGTTTCAAAGGGAGAAATTTTTGAAATTGACGAGGGCAGTCTATTAAGTATATAAACCGCGATTTGAAAGGCATGAGTCCAAAACTTAGGTGGAAGAGTGGCAGCATGAAGCAATGCAAGGCTAGTCTCAACGACAAGACGGTTGCGCCGTTCACTGATGCCATTGAGTTCGGGTGTATAAGGAGGGGTGGTAAAATGAGAGATTCCTTTTTAAGTGAGGAAGTTAAGAAGGGCAACATATTCGCCCTCGCCATTAGTATGTAAATTTTTGATTTTGCACCCAAATTGATTTTCAACAAGATCTTTAAATCATGGGAAAATAAGGGGCACATCGGATTTCTGTTTGATGGGACAAAGCCATACATATCGACTAAAAAAGTCAATAAATAAAGCAAAATAATTAAACCCATCAACAGAGGTAACAGGCACAGGGCCCCACACATCAAAAAAATATTTGCAAGTGGGGAATGACTTGTAATAGAAGAATTTGAAAAGGGAAGTTTATGACTTTTGGAGCAAGCACAAGATTCACATAATGAAAATGAAATTTTATTAGATTAAAGTAAATTGGAAACATTAATAATTTGTTTTAAGGTCTTTGTCGAAGGGTGACCTAAATGTAAATGCCAAATCGCCAAAGAAGTACGCTCTCCTACTAGTGCTGTTGGTTTAGAGCTAATTTTTCTTGGTATTTGATAAATCTCATGAATGTTTGGCCCTTGGAGTAATGTCTTGTTCATGCAATAATCCTTCACCAAAAAGAAACTAACATGAAATTCAACATAAACATTGGCATGTTTACACAATTGAGAAATAGAAATTAAGTTACGTGAGGCTGAAGGAACACATAAAGCATTGCGCAAAGGTAAAAAGGATTGAGTGGTAGATAGTGTGGAGTGTCCCACATGTGTGATTCTCAAACCTATTCCATCACCAATATGAAGTTCATTAGGACCATTGTATTCAGAATGTAGTGCCAAGTTAGCCAAGTCAGTGGGTACATAATTGTTGGCACTAGAATCCAAGAGGCAATCATCAGAAAAATCTGCAAAAGAAGAGGCAAAATTGGCCATAGGCCCAAGAGCCTGCACACGGTAGCTAGGGCAGTTTTGAGCAAAGTGGCCTGCACGACTACACAGTTGGTAGCTAGAATTAAGGGACCGAGTTGAATGCTTGGGGCCAAAAGTATGACGTCAGTGTTGAGTGCCACGACTGGAGAAGTTTGGCCCATTCCGATTACCACGAAATACTTGTTGAGGGAGGTGGCCAAGAGGGAAATTATAGTTGCCTGCACTTAATGAAGGAGAAGAATTAGTACTATAATTAAAAGAAGCAACAGCATAGTGAGCAGTCACCGGTGTGATCTCAGGGCGGTTTTCGTCTCGTTTGAGACTTTCTTCATGAGCTACCAATCTGTCATGCAAGTCATCAAAGGAAAGAGAGGAATCTCGTGCTCGAAAAGAAGCTGCAATCTCCCGAAACTCAGGGCCAAGACCATTAAGAATGTAAACTGTAAGATCATCATTGTTGAGTGGACGATCAATGGTTCCCAATTCATCAGCAACAACTTTGAGATCTCGTAAATAGACAGCAATAGAGCGGCCATCACATCTCATGTTTTGGAGGCATTCCTTCAAGGTAATCACCCAAGTGCGAGAATGATTAGCATAGAGCCTTGCTAACGTTTCCCATGCTTGTTGCGCTATGGCAGCAGCAGCAGCGATATAGGGGGTGATGCTCTCCCAAACGAAAGTGATAAGAGCATGTCGTAAGAGTTGATCTTGATGGGCCCACAAGCTATACTCTGGTGCGGTTGCAACTGGACAGGGAGTCCTACCATCGAGATAGCCATCAAGTTCATAACCTACAAGCAAAGAAGTAAATTGAGCCCTCCATGACATATAGTTGGTGGGCGTTAGCTTCACATGGAATGCAGCTGAATTGAAGGATAGTGGGTTCTTGGTGAGACTAGGATTGAGAATTGTTGCAGCAGAGTTTGGGGAGTTTTTGGATGTAGTGGAGTTGGGAGACTCATTGTGGGTGGCCATGATCAAAGGCTCGTGAGAGCAAGAATAGCTTTGATACCACTATTACGCTTAAGATTATAGAAAGCAAAGCTACGTCTTATTGCTGTCTTGTAATCAATATATATACAGAAGTATTGACCCAGTGTTAACGCAGAAACTTAACTGATATGGAAACTTAACTGATATGGACATAATATATATGATACAGTACAAAAATGCAAATTAACTAAATCCTAGAATCATGGTGCCATTTATTGCAGATCACGTAGAAGATACACCTTCCTTAACACTCTCTAGCTATTGTTTAGGATGCTGCCTATTGTATTGGGTTTGTCCTTGAATTTCTTTAATTTCATTAATTTTGGAAGAAGAATTGACTCCCTAATAAAAATAGCAAATTTCAAAAGGAACAAGTTTGACAATTTGGAAGAATCACAAAATGCCAAGACCAAACTAAAGGACAAATCCAATAGAGATGCAAAACACCTCTTACTAGACCAACACCAGGGAAAACCCCAATGAGGATGCCAAACAACCCTTATTCGACCTACCAAAATGAAAAGCACACATTTATCAATAGAATTCAACAAAAAAACATATTATATCATAAAACAAGCTTCTTCTTTTTTTTTTTTTTTTGGGTTCAAAAAAGGGAAATATCATAAATGAAAGTAAAGAGAAACAGTGCGATACACAGAATTAAAATTATGGTGAGAAAAAAGTAAAAAAGGCAGCCATAGCTTCTAATTTACTTCATTTCTGATAAAAAAAAAAATTAATAGGCCCA